TGTGCTTTGTTTTTTTTTTTTTTTTTAATTGTATTATGTCACTTTTGTAAAAGTGTCACATTTATATTTTGAAATTAAGTAAAAAAATGTCAATGATAACTAATTCTGTATCAAACATAACGTCAAACTGACAGATTTACCAAAAGTTAGTTCAAAATATATATTTTTTTAATAAATTCCAAAGCACATTTGACAAGTTTTTCCCCCGTCATATGCAAGGAAGTAATAAATAGGTTATTGTACCAAAAATCAAGTACTAAATATTGGAAGGTATATGAAATTAAAGTTTATCCAGGCCTGCCATTTGGAAGCCTAGTAGTTTTGAATAAGAAGCGGGATTTCTTGGACTTTACTTTAGGAGCGAGGAAGTTCTACCGAAATAATCGTCGACCAATTGAGTTATTAATGTTCGTGGCTCGGGCGACATATGTTTAAATAACAGTTTTTGAAGCAAATGTTACTAATCGTAAGTGACAGTACAATGGCGTTTACAGAATTTTAATATCTTTATCCGTTTTCAAGATACAGGGCGCGGAGTTTTCTCTGGGACCTCTGTATACAATATAATGATTTTTCTACCTAAATATTGACATAATAATTGGATCATATTTTTTTTCAGTAGTTCCTTGATTTCGTAACCTTCAGTATCATTCACCCTGTATATTACACGGTTTCTATATTGATGGGCACTATTTTTTTCAAATATAATTGAAAAAATAATTACTAGTTTTTGTGTTTACAAAATGGAATCAAACAAAAATAAAAAAAAGAAAACCGGATTTGGTGAGTCAACTTTGTTATAATTCTTCTAATGAAAATAAAATTTGCCCTTTTGTAATTTTATTGTATACTACTACACTTCACCTTTATAATATAAGTATAGATTCGGAAACTGAATGGCATAACTGTTTTTGATTTTTGCTTGTTCCTCTCATTCGCACCTCTTTTACTACATATAAAGTATAAAACAGTATTACGAGAATCCCGAAAATCATCCGAAAATAATACAGTAACATTATCTACATATAAATAATCTCGTACTCGTACATACGTAGAAATATTTATACGAGATTTAATTTGAATTGAACAATATGATTGGAAGCACATAAAAGTAGAATTTGATAAATATTCATTGTGCTGAAAATTGAAAATTGGTTTAAATATATTCCCTAACGGCAACAATTATAAATTAACCAGTGAATATTTTATTGGATGCACAATAAAATTTTGGTCAATTAATTTTTGTTCAAATCAGATAAATTAATTCCAGAGTTGATTCCGTAATTCAGTAGCTATAATTCCGTTGTGTATATTGTGTAAATGCAAAAATTATAGAATTTTAGAATTTTACACAAAGTGAACACTAGGCAAAACATGTGCAACCCTATCGTTTTTAAGTGAATTATCAGAGATTAAAAAAATGTATCAATTTAAACAAAAAATACTTGCACCTTAGCAGTGTGTATCGTCTTCAGATTAAAATAAAAATAATTCTGAAAGTACAATAAAGGGAGATGGTGTGAAAATTGAAGGATCGTAAATTGTGTTATTTTATATTTCTAAATTGTGATAAAAATCAGGAGCAAGTGTTTCCTTGATAGCAAGTTCAACTGGATACTATTCCAACTCTTCACAGACAAAAGTTCAATTTTCAACATTTATATTTATTAACACCTAAATATTTGATGGAAAAACACGGATAATAGAAAAAAATCTAAGATACCAATGAATGATTTAGGGATTACAGAATATGAACTAAGTTTAATTTATTCATCCCCTCCGGAAATTGATGACGTCACTTTAAAAATTTATTAAACACTACAACCTGAACTGTTATGCACGACGATGAAAAATCTAAATGTGCATTACTTTAAACAGTCAACTTTCTGGTCATGCAGAGAAATTTATGAAGTTTAATACAGTTGCACTATGCAATCCTAAACGTGGAAGTTGTGTAACACACGATGTGCCAAGATTTCTCCGAATTCACAATTGCATGCATGGCTTCTGTAGACATCACAAAGAATATTTTATAAACACTTGCAGCCCATGACTTTTATTACTACGAGTGTTTGCATTTTTCGAGTAATAACATGAGACCTTTTGTTTGAGCCTGCTTTCTGAACCGAAGTGAAAGTAACATTAAAATTCATTTATCCGCTCTCCGTCGTCTCGAAACATAATGAATAATTAACAGCTGCAGAACTTGTCTCAATTATTTCGCTTAATATTTAATGAACATCTCCGTGACGTGAGATTCTGATTCGATTTTATTTTACTTCAAGAAACGCAACGTTAACGATTTGCGCGTTTTCGTTTTCCTTTTCCAATTACCGAATAAATTCTTTTAGTCTCGAACCGTATAATTCTTCTCATTTCGTTATGAAAGCGGCAGATGTTCCGAATGGGTCCTACCGGAATGGAAATTTATTTTTCGACCACCAGTAAATCCGTTTTATTGCAAATCGGGCATCCGATATACTTTATTAAAAATTCGCAATAATTACGGCGCGATAACGATGTTTCAAAGCAGGTTTGGTCACGCGGCCTTATGGCAAATCGCATTTTTACGGGTCGTCGAGTGAAAGTATTTTTTCGTGAGATTGGAAAAACTTTGCTATCAGTTTCATTTATTCCTCCCCAATGGCTAATTTCAGTCTCGCTGTGTTCTATCGAGAAAGTGCTTTATTTTTTTAATGAAAATTCGGACGGTTATTGTTGGCAGGAGATTGATTTCCATGAAACCACAAATGAATTTTTGGCTTAGTATGAAGTAATGAAATGTTTCGACACAACGTGCTGCCAGTTCTCATCAGTAATGGAGTTTTATTAAAGTGTGTCGTGGAAATATGTAGATTGTATTAGGCTGCAAATTTCATGGTGTTTTCCCACATTATACGTGCTTGTAAGCCGCTCTATGGAGGTAATTTTAGTACACACATCCGCCCTGAGCACATGATATGTGTGGTCATAAAACACAAAAGCCCTTGCTAGTAACCCTTCTACAACGTTACTGTTTAGCAAATTTTCGCACTGCGTCTGTCATGCTTCGAAACTTTCTCGTGGGTATGTTTTCAATTTAGGTTTTTGTGGTGTGATGGCACTGTGTGAATTAGACTTTATGGACTGTGACTGTTGACTTTGTAGTGGGTGTTCAAATAAACACTCCCTCGCAGTTGGTCATGGTGTGAGGAAAATTCGGCGTAACTATAACTTAGCTTTGATATATTATTATTGCCGTTTCCTAAATTCACAGTCAACTGTGAGGCAGTTTTTAATTTAATGTAGTCATTACGCAATGTGGACAAAAAATTTAAGGCAGCTTTTATAATTACCCTATATTTACTATGCGCTGTTATCAATTTTTTTACATTTAGATTTTTTTTTGATAAAATAGAGGATAGAGGTGTTCTTGGTTTGTGTATTTCAATTTTACGGTATGTAGTCTTTTGTAGTTTTAACAATAACAAAGGAGTAGAAAACCTCTGTGCCTAGGAACATCAATTGACTGATCACGTGTTCTGTTACTGCATTTTGAATAAAATTTTGCAGCTTCCTTATTTCACCAAACAATTTATTGCAATCTAAAATAACATAAATGTGTTTGAAAACGGTGTTCTTTGTACCGAAAAATGGAGCGGTCTTATGATCGAGTTATCAAAATATTTTGAAGGTATTCTGTTGTTTCACGCATAGTACAAGCCGTGCCCCCATCCTGCTGGAAATACCCTCCAGTTCTTCATCATGCAGCTGGTTAGTGAATACATCTCAAATGTGTTCCCTATACATTCGGGCAGTAATGGTTTCATGGAAGAAAATGGAGATTTTATACTTCGATGAGAGACTGATAACCACACTCCCACTTTTAATAGTTGTAAAGGTGCTTCCATAACTGCATGAGGGTTTTCAGCCCTCCATATTCTGTAATTTTGCGAACTGACATCCTGATAGATGCTTCATCACTGAAGGAGGGTACGTCCAATTTGTTATTGTTGTTGAGTTTATTTTCAAACCAGGTGCAATACTCGCCATGGCGTTCATAATTTGGTGGCAAGGTCTCCCGGACGATGGTTATTTTGTAACGATGTAAGTGTTCGATAAGTACTAAAAGGAACTTCAATTTGGTGGGATATTCTGAGATGTACTGGGATGTTCTTCGATTTTCTGCTTGATAATTTCTGGTACATATTTCTTGAAATATACCAGGCTTCTACATGGTCTGCAGCCACAAAACAATTTATTATACCTCTAGTATGTTTAAGATAATAGGCCATAGCGGGAAACATGTTGTGGTCAAGAGAGTTTGATTTTGTCTACTTAATAATCAGTTGGTTATTAATTCTCTAAACACATAAATTATTGGGCAATCTTGAAAGAGTTTTTAATAACAGAACACGACGAAATAAGAGAAAGTTAGGTTATCATTTTTTATTTTTTTATTTTTTATTTTTGTGCATATTTACTTCGACTTGCAATGTCACTTTTAATTATATCATACTTGCTATGCTTATGCATCGTAAACCTCGGAAGCACGAATCACGGTTATAGTTGAGATTTGTGACAACCGACTTTACAAAACAGTCATCACAACGAGGCGGCAAATTTTACGAAATTTCTATATTTAACTTTTATAATCACCGTGTATTATGATGTTGTGCTTATGCACTTTGGTGAAAACTTTAATATTCGGATATTCTTGATGTCAACATAATGACAGGTAAAACAGATTCGTTAATAACCATTCTAGTTATATCTTCTCAATTAACATCAAAATCTCCAAGTAGCCAGTATGAATCAAAAGCAACGAAAGCGCTGCTATGCCAGCCATTACTTAATTTCTTGAGATAATTTTCTTAAGATCTTGACTTAGATTTCAACATTTTCATAGAAAGTCACGATCCTGAGAAAAAATTGTAAGAAATCGAGCTAGTTCTTTGTAATAATCAGATGTCATCTAATCTTGTAGTTTAAGAAGTAGTAACATACAGTTTTAATTACAGGTCTCAACACTACGACAATCTTCAACAGGCTGACAGTCAACAGAAGCAACCTCTCAAGGACTCCACGAATACCAGCCCTTCATCAAAACAATCGAAATTCAACAACAACGACGAAGAGCAAAATTGTAACCAAGAACCGGAATCTACTCAACGCGATCCTAACGAAACCAACAACAATCAACCAGCCAGTAGTTCCCTACAGCGTTTAGAGACCCTAGCCCAAAAAGCAGGAATCCACGACATAACCGCCGACGACTGTAAATATGACATCGCCAACACCCTGTTAAATCTAGATAGAGGCCACGACAACTTGAGACAAGAAACGAATCACCAATCGAACATGAGTGAAATGAAAAGTCAGCAACAGGTAAGACGTTTCTCGAGACCCACAGGTACTGGTAATTAAAACAGAACCTTTACGTTTAGCAAATGGCCGAGGCTAATGCCCAGGCCCAAGCTCAAGCCCAAGCACAAGCGCAGGCTCAAGCTCAAGTGCAAGCCCAGGCTCAAGCGCAAGCCCAGGTCGTACAACAGCAGCAGCAGATGCAACAAGTCGCGTTGCAGCAGCAGCAGGAACAGCAAGCTCTGGCTCCCGCACAGAGCCCTCACCTGCAGCAAGTCACTGTGGCGACTTCGATGGGACCGCCACAGCACACGGTTTCCATGCACCAGCAGGTTGCCCAGCAGGGCCAAGTAATACAGACGCAGGGAGGGCAGGTTTTGGCCACTGCCCAAACGGGAAGTGCCACTATTACCACAATGTCTCCGTTGCAGCAGAGTCAAGCGCATCCACAGCAAATTAGCGCCGACTGGAGCCATGGAAGGGTGCAAGTGATCCAACAACCGCTTCAAAATCCCACTTATTTGCCACAAGTGTATAATACTCAGCAAGGGCAGCTTATTATGCCCAGCAATATTGCGTTGCATCCTAGCATTAATCCGCAGCAAATTCAGGTGATTACGAAGCCGTTCCAAGGAAACCAGCTGACTCCTCAAATGTTAACGACTGCGCAAGGAAAGCACGTGCTGCAGGGAAGTCAAGCAGGTAATTCTATTTATTACTTTAATAGGCCTATGTTTGAATGGTTTCTGGTCAGTATTGAGAGTGTACAATAAAGAGAATAACGCACAGTCTATTACCAGTGACGTGTGATTGATTGCGATTTATTCTTTGCGAATTAAACCGTAATGCGACTACAATAAAACTATTAGGTATTGTTTCAGCTATACTAAACGAGTAATTCATCAAACAACCATTGAAATTTGGAACTCCTGCATGTTATTTAATACTGAATGGAACAATATATGAAGTCGATTATTTTTGGATCCAACTAAAAATTTAATTTAAAAAGATTCACAAAAAAATTGTTCTTTGATAATAATCAGTACTTTCATCCTACAATAGTTTTCATGAGATAATGTATAGGTATCCCAAATTTCAACAGTTTATCTTCATAATTGTATTACTGTACGAATTATATTGATGATTGAGCTATCGCAAAATCCAATTAAGAGGGCTGCGGTTCTTTTTGGTCCACAGTTATGAATTAAGTAATGCAATTATCTACAAAACTATGCAGTCTGAAACAGGCATACCAACACATGTTTCTTTGTGCGAAGGCAAACCTGAATAAGTCATTGTCTGCGTAAAACAAGCAGGACAAGCTTATTAATTGGAGCGACGTTGTACATAATAATGAAATTTCATAAACTAGAATTTACTGAATTCGGTTCTTCCGTGAAGATAGAAACAAGAAATAACACTTGGTTAATTATTAAAAAAGCCTTTTTGACAAGACATGATTGTGGTGTACTTTGGTTGATCTATTCAGGCGCCAGAAGCGAAAAAAGAAATAAATTTGCTGAATGGACTGATAATTTTTGTTTTGTGTGAAATTATTTTTAATTCAAAAGATCACACCCATTTATTATGTACATATTCGCAGTATAGCAACACTGACTGCTGAATGCTGAAATATAGTGTAAAGCCAACCCTGCAAAGGTCCGTTGGAACAGGTGTTGCAGAAAGGATATTGTGACTAGGACCAATTGCCATAAAAATACAATTATTTAAAAGCGATTATCCTTGGTCTGCCCATTTTAGAACATCTGAATCCCCGTCGCGCTCAACCTATTATACCTATCAAGACATAAATCGTGGATAATTCGAAGCTTGAATTCCCGTCTGAACATACCTTTAGCCCTGCTGAGGGACCTCGTGTGCTAACGTTATTTACATTTATTTTCAAAAGTGTAATATAAAAAAACACTCTTGATTATTGTCTACCCACTAGCATTTAATAACATTAGCAACCATCATTGGTTTATTGTTGAGGATACAAAAAAGCCGTTGATAGTTACGTATTAGGAGTATTATATATTTCTAAATACGTATAAAACAGTAAGGATCATAGTAGAAATAATGTTTTAACCGTTGACTCCAACTAAATACGTACGCTACTGGTTTCATACACCGTTTATAACTTTAGCGATTTTTTGTGACTTGGCAATTTACAACTACAATACAACCTGCTAAAAGGTGAAGGAATTTATATCAAAGCAAGAATGCAAGTTTTGTGACTCAATGGACAAAACCACAACACGTGTTAGTGAGTGGTTTTTTGAGATAATAATCGTTTAATCAGCAGTTTTTACCAGCAAAAGTCGTTTTACACCGAAATAATTAAAATAACAAGAAAATCTTAACAAAGTGTATGTACAAATTTAATATTGTTTAGGGTAACCATTAAATTACTATTTTAGGAATCAGTGTACTATTTAAAAAAAACTTCGTTCTATATTTATAACATGCTTTACACAGCTTCTCCAACGAATAACGTGAATGTTTTTTTATTTGCTTCTTGCTAATTAAGTAAATCAGACCAAATGTTGGCTATCCTAATCGTTTGTTTTAATTAGCGAGATATTCACGATGCTCTTGTACAATCACTTGCGGGCCAGTCTCCATTGAATTCCTACATTACTTAGTTTTCATTAATTTGTTATATTTTTTCTTGAGCTTTTCGTCGGTACTTTCATAGAAGATATCTGATAGCACAGTGAGTTACAAAATGACTTACCTGTTTGACGCAGGTGGTGTGTATCCAAACACATGCGTCTAGCTGTGTTGTACCAATTAAAATATTTTCAGCTGAACTCTGTAGTTAATTATTATTTACTGTGAGGGAGTTTAAGCCAGTCAGTATCTACTTCATCAATTCAGATGTTTGCGTAATTATACTTCTGATGTCCTTAAAATGAACTGGACACTCCTTTTGTATTATTTTACCACCTTCATCTGGCTAAATCCATGAACACAATAATAATATGCTCCCGCAATTCCAAATAGACTATCTGCATCAGTTCGTTACCGTTAGAGCTTTTTTGAGACATTACTAACTTCTGTTTTTGTAAATATCTTTGATCGCTTAAATCGTTAACCTTCTAGATTTTGCTTTGAAAGTGGAATAAGTTCAAGTATTTGGGAATACCCACATTGGCTCTTAGCGCATAACGTACTTTTCATCACTGAATGTTATGTCCAGCGGTCGATGGCTTCGTTTACTGCTTCACTTCCAAAAAACACGTCTATACCACTGTTTCCAAAACAGAATTGGCTTTCTTCTGTGCCTGACGTCCCACAAATGTTAAATGCGTCTTGCGACATATATATTTTTTTAATGTTCAATTAGCAGCAATTTCAAAGTAGGTTCGATGTTGATCTTGTGGTGGACTAGAAAGGTGGGAAATACTGGTCATTACGTAAAAGTTGGGTTTTACATCAAGGAAGATTCAAGATTTTACTAAGAAGCTTTTGACGCATTCAATTAATTTAAAATATATCAACACATGTATGTATAATTTATTTCTACAATATTCTTTACTTATGATGAAATAAGAAGACACAAATATCCTGTAACATCGAATGTCCTGTTGGATGGACCGTAACCCACAAATTAAACATTAAATACAGATTTTTTTAATCCTTTGCAAATTGGTGTTGGTAATGAAAGGCGACGTTAATACCCATTACCGTAGTAATCCTTATTAACAATTGGTGCGTAAAATCTGGCTGGACGGACTATAAGTATTTCCTTAAAAGGCGAACAAAACAATGAAACTGGCCATAATCCTTCGCTTACAATTAATACTAGTTGGCCATTTTAGAAACTGGCGCTCGTTCGGACGTAGCCATATTGTAATATTTGCAAATTAACAAAAAAAATCGAGTTTGATCAGTTTTCGTTTTCGTACTATTCTTTTATGATAGCGAAAAAAAAACAGGGTACGTTTTCTAACCACAAGAAGAAACTGATTTTCATTTCGTAGATTAAAGCCATATCTTTAATGCCCACTTCCAGCAACAATTCTTAAGCCAATGGTTTAACTAATCACCGTTTAGTACCAAGTACCCTTAAGAGCAACACCACTTATACCAATCATTTCTCGTTCATTCTTAGTTAACTAGCGTTTAAGATAGAGAATTCTGTTATATTGCCAGATTAGTTGGTACCGACTACAAATTCATAATTTCATGGACTAATCGAACACTTTATCAACCTTTTAGCTGCTATTTCTAATTTAAGGAGTTGTCGCGCGACAACAAACTATGTCTCTACTGCGCATGTGCACACGAGCAACTATTGTCTTGCCTAAGTACCAACTAATCAGCCAAAATTGTTGGTTTAGTTTAAGCATCGCTTAATACCACATAATTACTTCTTAACGTTTGGTGCATATTTATTTAGGTCTTAACCAATACATAAATTTTAAGTATCGGTGCAAATGGGCGTGGGCATAAGTTGCATTGGTCCAACCCATACTTATTCCCCTCTGCGGTTAGAGCTTTTAACATTCTGGAATTACTATTTGTAACCATTTATTACAAACTAAAAGCATTTTCATGCGTTAGTGTCGAATACTGTATGTATTGAATTTGATTGTGCTGTGCCTACGTGACCGAAGAATTTGCAAACTATTTTATCAAACAAGTTATAGTCGGAGAAAAATCTTCCATGGAATTAACTTAACATTTTGTACATTGAGACCAAAACTGACCAAGAAACTGTATGAAACCATCCATTTATTTATAATGTCATACATTATTACCATAGCTACATTCCCTGGATACACCACGATTCCTACGATTCCGACAACGCAAAACCAACAAACTTTGGTGCTAAGTCAATTGGGCGTGATCAGTTCACAACCTAACATCTTGCCGAATCATTCCGCAACGGGAAATGGCCAAGTGGCGCAGCAGAAACAGCAGGATATGCATAAAGTAAGTAAATAAAGTTAGTTTTTCTTTTTAGTTGTTTTGCTATTGGTCGTCAAATATCAATAATGGAAATCACATTTTCTGAAAAACCATGAAATGGTCGTGATTGGATTTCTTGTACTTAGGTAATATCCGGACAAAAGATAATGCAAAAAGTGGCAAGTAGTACGGGTGCAGTAGCTCAAACCCAACAAGGACAATGCGTACAAGTTTCTCAAGCAATGCTCGGCTCACAGCCGACTGCCCAAATTATCAGTCCGATACAAGTAAGGGTACAACTTTGATAATGTTGCCGTAGTTTGATTGAATCTTTCTTATTGCACCCTATATAACAACAAACTATTATTGAATCATTGCTACACTGTGTCAAAAAAGTGCAATAATCGTATGAGGAAAAAGTTCATCACTTTTTTGCGTTAGTGAAAAGCTGGCCGTACAGTTGGTACAAAAAGTGTGAACACTGCTTCTTTGACTAGTGTATTACTGATCGTGGTCGCATCTATTTTTTCTGTAGCAAAACAATTATAAAATAATGGAATCCGAGACTATTTATTTTACATGGGTGATGATGACTTTGTAATTCTTTAAATACTATGCCTTTCTATTGATTAGTTCGATGCGAATGCCAATAACTTTATTATTTTAGCCTGGAGGACAACCCATGCAGTTCGCCGCTCCTTGGCACTTTACGAACGGTCTCCAACAAGTTTGGACTACCAACGGTATTCAGTCCCAAGCTTTGCTGGCCGCTCCCAATCCGATTTTCATCAGAGGTACTCCGCCAGATGGATCTCCGGCGCAAGGAATGTTCATACAACAAAGTCCGCAAGCTACAACTATTCAAACTCAACAAAATCGTAAGTCATCGTTTATATTTGATTCCACTGCATCACATCATCCGTAAAATCCTACAGCCACGATCGCCACCCAAGGAAATGTGCAACAGATCAATAAACCTAGACCAGCGAACGAAAACATTCAACCAAAGCAACCCACAAGTAGGCCGTTAAGCATTCTACCGTCCAACACGGCTAACATTAGGCCGGCTAGTTCTGTTCAAACGCAAACTATAGCAGCACAAACCCCTGTATGTATGCTTCGTTTTTTGACAGGCGACATAACTCACGTCGATATGTTCTTAGGCTTCGATGGGAGGGAAACTTGGCACGAGAATAAGAACGAAAGCGCCGCAGATTCGGACGTCTCCAGCACCAAAAGCGGATGCGTCTAATCAAACGCAGATTAAGCCCTACGCAAATATACAGCAACATCATTTGGTTGGCAATAAGTAAGTTGATCACTTGAGTTAATATGCACTGGAATCGGTTATTCTTACTTTTTCTTGTACTAGTAAGAAAATACCAAAGGGCGTTTTTAGCTGAAGTTTATGACTGATGCTGAAAACTGCTCCTTATTCCAAAAATTAAAGAGAGATCTCTGGCTTAAATTTGTAAAGGCTTCGAATTTAAGCTCGTTCCCCTCTCGACATTTCTTTATTGTTTATTTATTTTTTTTATTATATGGAAGTATTGACAACGAAAGTATGAAGCGATTTGTTTTGTAGAATGGTTGTTATGAATACATCAACGGGCATGACGCCTGTGACGCCTGGGTCTCCCGTGCCTGTCGATAAAGGTCAGCAAATGACCAATCAGAATAAACCTCAGCAAGTACAACAGACCCAGCAGCAGCAGCAGCAGCAGCAACAGTCTCAGCAACAACAGCAGCAACAGCAAAATCAACAACAAACTGTGTTGATGCAACAACAAGCCATTCAACAACATGCGATTCAACAGCAGCTGCAATTCCAGCAAGGACAACCTCCACACATCCAACCCAAACCAGTAATGAGTAAGTACCGAGCAGATACTTCATTAGTATTTATTAAATGCCTCTTTTCAACAACATTTTGAGAGACACTTGGTAATTTATTTTAACCTAATTTTGTGCAATAAACAGCATAAAGTATAACATAAAATCAGCAATGTTTTGTTGTTTCCATTTTAACTCTGGTGGTTACTCAAAATTTTGGAAGTTTTAAACAATGAAAATTTACTTAAAAAACGCCACTGTATACTCGTATCAGATCACTTAAATTTTGTACGCGGCAAAGTTACTTGAAAAAAAAAAAAACCTAAGAAATTTCATGTGACTGATGAACGTACTATGTATCGAAGCGTGTGGAGAAAGAAATAATATATAGATTGAGTCAACTAAAAGGAACTTCGAATATTTTTTTTATTTATTATATTATCTAAAAGTAATGGTATTAAATTTGTAAATGGAGAATAATAGCCCGCGTACATACCTAAATTCATTGCTTAAAAAAATGAACGGAAAAAAGTATATTGCAGACATGCATACCATTGAACTTTTTTATTTTTCAGATTTTTCATTTTTTTTTAATTCCAAAAAAATGTAAAAAATAGCTTCATTAGCTTCATTATTTGATATTCGTAACTTATTGCAATTTTTCTTTTGGAAAAATTAACTAATTTTCTGGCTAACATTGTGCCCTAGTACAACTTTACGTAAAATTTGGTAAAATGTTGGATTGGATTGTCAAAAAGAGCGTAGTAAATGAAATAATTTCATGAATCTCAAAAATACATGCTTCATTACTCAACGTAAAAACGAGTGTGGAAAAAAAAAACGCCGAAAATGGTGTAAGAAAATATTATTTTACAAAAGCAAATAAAACATACCAAAGAATAATAAACATTAAACTTTGCAGGTTTTTTTTTTTAATTTTATAGTAAAAAAATAAAAAATAACTACAGACAATGTATAATATATTTAAAACAGATAACTAAGGGGAAAATGTCCTCTCAGCAATAATAACAAACTTAACTTCAAGTGTCTATTTATACAGCCAAATGCATGGGTGTCCCCTCAAAACAGAATACTAAAATTATTAATTAATATTATTATGCTTATTTTATCATTATTAAATAAAGACGTGCGTATTCTCACATTTTCGAGAAAATGGGGTGACTAGTTCTTAATTTGAGCAAAAAAAAAAAAAGAAACGGTCAAGTTTGGCATCGAACAAAGAGGAAATAAAAGTGACGATATTTTTATTGTTTTGCTCTCTATCAATTATTATTTGATCATAATGAAGTAGAACTCATTCATCTTTATAAACTAAATTCCATTAACATAGGTTTATAAATAAAAAAGTTATTCGAGGTATCGCCCTTTAGCTAACTCACCCTGTACATTGTAGTACTAAATTTATGAAAAGTGCAATTTGATGCAGGTGTCTTCATTTTGATAACTATAATGTAACACTCACAACAATTTCCTGTAAATTAGATAAGTCGTTTTTGATTTAATTGATTAAATATCTCGCTTCGTTGACTTATTATTTTTTTAATATCTTACCAAAATTTGAAAAAATCAATTATGTCGGTTCTTAAACATTAAGATATAAGGTTAAAAGATGGTACATTATTAATTTCAAGTGAAGTTTATATAATTTTGGATTAAAATCAATTTTTTGGAAAGGATACATTTGCCGGTGTCGTATGGTTGGGTCACCTTAACTGCAGCTCGTGTCGCGTTTTGTATGAAAAGAGGGGCATTTAATCCGATGATATTATTGGTTATAAATTCTGAGTGTTCTTATACACTTGGTGTAAGAAATCGCTCGGTTCGGGCGAAGGCGGGAATCTTAACCAACTTCAGAATTGTTAAGGGCTAATTTTGTTTTGTGTCAGGGGTTTTTAAGTACTGAACACTTATAGTTATTGTTGTTATATTCTTTAAATAATTTGCAACACAAAACTTGAACAACAGTTTACGTTTCTCACTGCCCATCTTTCTTCTTTCTATGGACTTCTATTTAAAGCAGGTATAGTGTACCAAGGGAAATAATGGTGGTATGGCTTTGACTTTTGTGAACAACGGGCGCCTTAAACTAATACTGTTAAAGATAAGTCTATCTTGTTTAGGAGAAGCGTGTCGGCCAAATATAAAAAAGAGCCGTTATTTAAGTTTGGACTAGTGTCATAAATTTGTATCTAATAACTTACATTATTCGTGGACAAGGTTAGTGAAGGAGTAAAATTAGTGTGAAGTCAAACACAGAGAAAAAACATATTTTCATACTTTAAAAGTAGTGAAATCTTAGAACGTGACTCCTACATTATACCGATTTAGCGAATCCTCGCACCCAAATGTGGGACGATAGTTACATGTTTTTTTTTCCTGGAATTGCCGCTTCAAATGACGAAATGTTTATGATTTTAAACTATTGAACATGCTTCAAAACAAAGTTTTTCCTTATAATCCAATACCAAGTGAGATGAATAGACTGCAATTTTTTTGCTCAAAGATAGTTCCTTTAAAAACGTTTAGCACAGATTTAGGTGCAATTTCCCGTCATGAGTTTGGGACGTACGTTTTCAAAGCTTTTGTTTTTCATACACCGTTGTAATTTGTTTTTTCTTTGAACGTTACATCACTGCTTCTGCAGTGTGCATAGAATAATTAATTGTCTTTCCCCGCAATTTGTTATAAACATTAATCATGTGCGTTAATTTTGTAGTGCAAACAATCCAAGGAATTCCCCAGCAACAAATTCAAATGGCTGGAGAAAGACCAATAATGCCAGTGGTCTCCATGTCTCAAGCTGGAGCCCAACAAGTACAACAAGCAATTCAACAAACAATCCCTGGAACCCTACAACAAAGCTTACCATTGCAGCCCAATTTAGCAGTGACGCATCAACCAATGCCCATGGGCATGTTACATTCGGTATGTTGACATTCTTTAATAATTGCATAATTGATAAACAACCATAAAACGTCCATTTTTGTCAGCTACTAACTGTATATAACCAAACACAGTTTGAGGTTATTTTGACAATCAACATTTAAACAATATAAATAACCATGTCATTATTGAATACCTTAATGTTTACTTAGCAACTTACTCAGATGGGACCGACTGGAGCGATTATTGGCCAAATTCAAACTTCAACCCAACCAACAACGATGCAAGTTACAGCAAGTCCGTCGCAAGTACAACAGCTTCAACCAGGAACTCAACAAACTATCACTATTTCTGCCCCCCAACAAGTCCCCCTGCCTCCAACTGTTCCTCCAGTGAAAATGGAAACCCAAGGTGAAACCGCAACCACAACAGATAATCTCGTGCAAGGACCCGCTCCCGTTATTGCAGAATCTACCAAAGAAACCACAAGCGAGGGTAAATATCACACTTTTATTTGTAAACAAATTGTTAGAGTCAATATTTTTTAACCGCTGTTGGCTTAACCTCAAAATCTTGTTGACAAAGTGGCGCAGGTGACAGTTTTGCGCCAAATTCAAAAAAGCAATGGGCAACAAGTGAAGGAAACTGATTATTTTTATGGTGTGTAAATTTTATTATATGAAAATAAATTTGTTACAGTAAATGTCAGAGATAAATGGTAATGCAGTAGTGACCGTGGAATAATGAATGTGTTTGTCCAAAAGAGAATTACTTGAAGCTAAAACTATAAAACATTTATTTATATGTACATACATTATTAATTTTATTATATTACATAGATATTAATAGATTTCTTAAAACTCATTTGAAATAAATAAATCTTTTTTTTTATAAAAGTGTTTCCCAAAGTCTAAATAAATGTTACGGTCAAGATTTATTTATTTAAGCATTTGAAAATACAACTCACACTTGGAGAAACGCAAAAACGTATCTTAGAAAATGTTAAACCACCCATTTGAAATTAGCGTCATAAACTTAAGGCTTGTTCTTGCATTTTTTAATGAATGTAAGGAAAAGTAAGTAGTGAGTTCAACAAAATGATAGTTCGTGGATGCATCTAGTAAAAAAAAAGGATGGCTTTAGGACCCATCTTTAACTTATTTACTTTAAATACAAAAAGTATCATATTCAAATACAAAAAAAACATGGACGGTATAATTTTAACCCTTGTTTAATTTCTGATTTTTTTGTTTTATTCGTCATTAATGTCTACAAAGAGATTTAGATTTAACTTTCTACATACAACTGCATCTGATAATATTACTAATTGCAAGTTACATAAGCATATGAATACACGCGGAAAACACTTTGCTATGGACTTTGAGTCTAGATTTTGTTTTGAACGTGTGCATGCTCAATGATCTGTAATATTTATAACAGTGGTAGTAGAAATGTGTTTCTTCCATATTTAATTATAACAACATAATGAAATCTTAGCCATAGTTACGTGCTTGAAAGCTGTCGATAGAATATTTATAGTAGTGGTCATTTCAGTAGTTTTGGTGGGAAATAAAATTCTGTACTATATAATTACACCAACTGCAAGCAACCATATTGAACCAAAACGTCAAAATATATCATAATAGGGACCCTATAACCGTCAAATACAGCAATTGGATTTTAAAAAATTGCATTGGAGATTGTTACAGTTGATTGAGAATATCAGTTCTTGTGGAAAATCAATAAACTTGTACTACGCGTTTATAGTTTACAAACGTCACCTTCTAATTACCTAGAGTTGAATAATTAATTAAATAGTAATAATATAATGAAGAGCTGAAACGACTAGGTCACACTTATCACGCACACAATTACTCACGAATTATTTAAAACCTAAGGTTTTCTTTACAGCAGTCACATTTATTGCCTTGTGTTTCGAAGTGTGATGAAATTTGAATACATGTAAAACGGAAAAGTAAGTAAGGCTTGACTTTTAATTGATGGTCTATTTAGGCGTTTTTGGTATTATATTTTGTCAGCTTAATCGCAGTTACTACTGTTTTGCCGCTCTAGTGTCAAGCAGCTAAATGGAATTTGGCACAGCTAAATTTAGCCAAACTTAAATTTAGTGAAGAAAAGTCACCAAGTTTGATACATTAAAAATCAATAACAACAATCCAAAAGAACTTATTAATTAACTATTTGGGGCATTCTTAACTATTACTTTTAGTTTTTTCCAGTATTGTCATAAAAGTACTTATTTCAAAACGTTTGGTTTATTATATTACTAAATCAGCAGAGTCGGGCACCATTTTTTTCATAGTTGCTTTGTAGAGAGTCAATAAAAATTTGACGACCCGAAACACGAATTATATTTAAAACGTCACTTATGAAGCTTACACAGTTTCAGCGTGTTGAAACGGTAACCTAAACACTTTTTTTTAAATCTTCATGATTTAATATTATGGAAAGATACAATTTTTAAGAAAAACAAATCACATAACTATACATTTTTTAACATTTTAATTCTATTCTGCAGTGCCTTTACCACCACCACCACCCGATGGCAAAGAAGCAATTCCGTCCCTTGAGCCTAAACCCCAGCAAAGCACTAGCACTGAGACTACCGGTGTTCAACCGGTACCGATACCAGGTACGGTTCCAACGCAACCGTCAAACACATCAGTAGCTGAAAATGGTCTTCCCATAGCTACAACTGCTGAAGAGGTGAAAGAACGTTGCCCTCCTAAGGCGATGGTCAAACCGCAAGTTTTAACCCACGTGATCGAAGATTTCGTTATCTTGGAATCTTCAGAACCTTTCCCGGTTACCAGAAGTGCTCTTTTGGGTGATTTGAAGCCGACTCAGTCTTCCAACGACAAAGACATGGATGAACCTCCGCGTAAGTACTTTCTAAAGTCAAGTGGAATTTGTATTTACTTTGTTAATGAAAGGAATGTTGCATAACTTACGTCTTCATTTATGATGACGGGTTTCCGGATGATGCTGTGGTAGTCATTTTAAATTTTCGAGAGAGTTAGTATTATCTTAAATAATATCTAACACATCTGAACAGATTACAAAAAAAATGTTCCAACTACTGTTAAAATAATGTAATTTATGCTCCTAGTTTTTTCTTTTATTTTTAATGCTACGAGTGTTAAACTGAAGATTAATATTTTCTTTTTTCCTCTCGTAATGCATAATACACTTAAAGAACATGACCAATAACAGTCATTAGTCACACAGATGTTACTCTCAGACTGCGGTACAGTCCTGTCAAGGTTTTTCTACGTCAGCTCGTTTGTCAGTTTTAAATAATTTATGTAATATTGATTACTTTTCATTATTGATTGTTTTTCTATAATTGAGACGAATACCTCCCATTGTTCTATAGGGAAGAAACGAGCGAGTTCTCCCTCCAGTAATGGAATTGGAATGTCGCCTAAAGGTGAAATGGCCAAATGTGAAGCTTGCGGCACAGTGGACTTACGCGCCAAGTTCAAGAAGAACAAACGTTTCTGTTCTCTGACCTGCGCTAAAAGGTACGTTTTAAATATCTAAATATTTCAGACCCTGATTTTTTTTTTATTATTAGCGGCAAATATAAATCAGACGACAAGAAAGGTTGGGATAAGGACAGTTCTATGGAAGTGGACGTGGATTCGGGCGCTTCTGGCGCTGAAAGTAGTTTAAGCCCGAATGAAGGCTCAGACGTCATGCCTAAAGTGGATCCCTTGAAATGGACGGTGAGTTTTATTTTTGTTCTTACGGACATGGTTTAAAGTGTGTTTTTTAAGGTGGAGGAGGTGTGCGACTTCATTAAAAATTTACCGGGATGTTCTGATTATGCAGAAGATTTCCTGATTCAGGAAATTGATGGGCAGGCTTTGATGTTGTTGAAGGCAGATCATTTGATGTCGGCGATGGCGATGAAGTTGGGTCCGGCGTTAAAAATTGTTGCGAAAATAGACGATATGAGAATTGACAAAGAGCCGCCCAAACAGAATTAAAGTATTATTATTAGTTAATTTAGACGTTATTTAATTAATAACTTTAAGAGTATTTATATAATTTGTTTAAGACTGTCGAATGATCTGATATCTTTACCGGGTGAGTGAGACGCTAATGATCGAAATGAATTTTTGGTTTTATCTTTTTAATGATTCCCACGTATGTGCATACAAGAAAATTTTAAATTGTCCTATTCATTTTGTGTTTTTATCAGGTTGAAAGTTAATTTTTAAGTTCGGAACGAGTCATTTTTATTTTATATAGGAAATACCACTGTACATATGTGTAAACAATTTTTTTTATTTTAAATTTTTTAAATGTACATAGATAAATATATGAAAAAATCTGAAGTCTTTATAATAGCAAATATCTAATTGAAATTCAAAATTTCAGTTTAATAAATTTCTTAAAATTTGTAAATACTTGATTTGTGCAATGTTCATATTAAAAAATTGATGTTAGTTTACAAATTATGATATTTGTTACTATTACTGCCACTTAACGATAATAAACATTTGTAATTTGTAAACTGTGTTTTATTTGACGTGATGTGCATATACATTATTGTTTGAAGAAATGGCGGTAAGGTTGTATTGATCGGTTTAATGTTCGTACGTTACACGATATTAATGATTCATTTTACAGATGACAACTACATATAAACTGTGTAACATACAAAGTGGAATGAGGGAAACTTGTTTGAGTTAAGTAGTCAACTGCATTGTCGCACGGGTGTGGTAATTGTTTTTTTTTTTTTTTTCATTTTCCCGACTGGATTTTTAATTGTGAACTTCATGGGGAGAAATGCGCACCTTGGCCCAATAGCTTTGTTGTTTTGCGAAGACGGGGTATAGAGTATAATATGCGGCAGGTTTTTTGGGCATGTGATGTATATTACACATGTCAATAGAGTAAAATCATCGAGGAAAGGTGACAGGCTCCGACGAGGAACTTAAATTCCACTGTTTTTACAACGCCTTTTGTAGCATTTTGCCGATCTCTCGATTGCCATAATTTAAATTTGTCGGCCCATCATCGTAGTAATTTGCTAATAAGTATGTATCTGTAACATTTGATTTCATTTTTAAAAGCTGGATAAGGTTTCTGTAGCTAATTTTCAGATTTGCGCTCTCCAGTATGAAGGAATAAACAATTTGCTCTCCATATTTTACACTTTCATTTATGGTCACCTTTCCAACCTTGAGGTTTACCATTTTGCATTTGAATGCATTACGCCATAAAAAACCATACACAATGTAGGGTTCCATTTGTGACGATCACAGTTCAAAGCCAATTTTTTTATTTTTCGCGGTTTTAACATTTTGTGCACATGTCTTACATTGTCGGTATTTTTGGATACTACAGTACATGTGGCTTTCAAAAGCGGCGTTGAATAAACAGAGAAAATAGCTGTAGAGTGGGCAAAAATCATATAGATAATAGATATTACAAAATATATAAGGGCCTGACTAATGAGGAAAGTGTAAAAGACACTCTAGACTCCATAACTGTTTATTTAATAAGTTGTTTTCAAGATTATTACTTCATCCTACACAAGAACAGTCAGTCGTAAATATTTCTGACAGATGGGCTTTTGTCTTGGGATTTGAAGCGGAAAATTGCGTGTTTTACGGTAGACAAACGTCGTGGATAAAGCGCTGCATGGTTATGAAGAAAAAACATTAATGATCACTGAGTATAATGTTTACATACTTTCTTTCCTGTGTAAATCATGACTTTCCATGACTATCACAAACGTTTTTGTTGAAGACAAGATTTATGGTTATTGCGCATGTGTGGTCTAGACTAGGGTAATTTCGGACTGTATTCTAATGGGGCTACTCCTTACTTTTATCATTACAATAGCACTTAAATGATGCTTAAAGTATCACACAACATATGCTCATATGCATTTGTTGGCAATACAAACCTTTTTAAGGGAATTAATTTTATATTTTATTCTTTTTGTTAAACAAAAAATTGTTTTGTGTGTCCGTTGTCATTGACACAAAGTGTCCATAATACAGCAAGTTGACCTTATCCGGGTGGGCTTAAAATTATGAGAAAAAATATTATCATGGTAAGGTGTCCTAAAGGTAAATTGCTTTGATCCATATGAGTTAAGAGAATTTCTTCGTCAATATGTCTTCAGGGTAGTGTTCCTGATGATAGTATCAAGTATAAGTGCAAAACAATATTTGAAAAAAGTTTTTGAGTTGTATTTAATTTTGGAAAAAAGAATGTCCAAAGTTGTAATCAGAACTTCTTCAGGTTCAACTATCAATGCTCATTGGTTTAAAGAACACCAGATTGATGGTAATTTTGGTCCAATTTAGCAAATTCCCATGACCACCCGCTCGACCGCGACAATTTTGGTCTATATCTTGTAGATCGGTTCACTGTAGATAGGAGATTAAAACGACCTAGCATTGAAGTGAAGGGTATAAAGCCAGCTGAAGAAAAGGAACTTGGAAGTTGCCCAAGATATGATTAGAAGTCGGCTAAGAAAAATCTAGAAAGGAGAAAATTTTGTTATAAATACTGTTTAAAATGCTCAGTATTGTTAAATTTTCGTTAGTAAAATCACACATTACGAATTACATTCGTTAATAGAATATTTACGAATTTAACCTCTGAAAATCAGTCATTAGCAAAATATTTGCCGGTTCTATGAGTTCGATATGTACACATGGTACATCCTGCTCGTATATGTTAATAGTATATGGTGAAATACCTCGAAGTCGGTGTTACCACCTTTCCCTCCTTTCGGCTCTACGGCGTCCCTCAACAAGAAGCTTTTCACTATACCCTCGAATCCAAAACAACTGCGGTTAACACCGGAGGACGGCACTTGGAGTCCATTCAGAGATCCCAGCCTGTGTCTGCTGAGAGGGCGCCTCGAACAAGTAGGTACTGGTAAACCTTCGCCACAGCCTCTTTGCCTTGCAAGCTATTGAGACACCCGTGGCAAGGATTTTAAATACTCACAGGGCGCCTGAGCCCATTTTGTCCCAAGGTAACTCGTTTTCCCGCTACCCAGTCTGTACCATAGCAAGTGAGATTGGCTAGTTTGTTAGATATGAAATAAATTACGATCCGCAAATCTTTTGAAATAATGTGAAAAGAACTAGTAACTCGGTGGGATGTCAACCCTACAACTGCACTCTCATATGGACAAACTTCAAAGCCTAAGCCTATCTAGTTCGAAGGACTGGACTTTCTCGGTCCAGTGACTAGTCATGGGAGTCCTTGCTACTCCACACCTGGCCTTTAGTCCGCCAGTAGGTCTTGTGTCCAGGTACCAATAGGGCTGGCGTGGTAACAATGGTGGTAACCACAAAACACCTGCTTTCTCCGTACCATCAAAGGTTCGTGAGAGAGACAAAATTATCTCAATAGCCGCTTGGCTTCCTCGTACTCCTTTTCGCCCCAGTATCTCACACTAGCCAATTAACAATGCGGCAGAACTCCCCGGTACCGAATTTTATAGCCATTTTACAAAGAACTGAAGGTTTTGGTTGGCATGCGCCAAAGCTCCTGCTAGTGGACACAGCCTGACCACGCGAAGGTGGGAGTTGAGATCGAGCAAAAGAGGCTATGTTTTCCCTTCTTTGTTCCATAAAGTTAGGTCCTAGTGCGCATCTAATGGTAAGCCGTTAAGAAAAAACCTTTAATTATCATATTTGCACCGAATAAAGCGGTGCAGTTTTCATTTGCTTAATTAGCTTTTACAGCATTTTCAAATATTGGGTTTTATTTTGTAAGTAAATTAATTGATGCTAGCTAAAAGCATTCCAAGATCTGAGGAATTAGAATTTTTATCTTCTCCTTCTAACGGCATGTGTCCCGAAGCCAATGTCAAAGTAGTAATATTAAATTTGGCTCCATGTGGATGCTACTTCTTGTCGAATACGGATCTCAAGTTCCTGATCACTTGTTTCGTTTAAATTCCATCGATTGAAAATAGCACAGGACCCACTATAGCTAAGATGTTACCCATTCTGTTTATGGCTTAATTTGAAAGTATTCAGTCATCAAATTCTACGACCATGGGATCTTTACCTACAAATAACCAGCAAAAATAACAATAAGATTTATTTAGAATTAGTGAATACAATAATCATAAACCTGTTTTCTTTCTTTACTTAGTTAGATTTTGCTATATAAAAAAAAGACGAAAAGCATCTGTCTTTATCGTGCTATGGGTCGAGGGGGTTTGTTTATTTTTGAACAGAAACTGTTTTCGGTGTGGTGTTAATTTGTCTGAATAGTTTCTTTTATTATTTTGCGAAATATGACCACTGTTTGTCTCTGCACTAGTGATGATTCCCCTAAATTATAGTTACTTTTTTATATATACATATCAAAATTACCAGTGCTTTGTTAAGATAGTCATCAACTTCGGTTCAAAGTCATATCTCATTACACTGATGGTACCTGGAGTGCCTTAATCCCTCGTTTTAGCGCCGGTCCAAACTGATAAGAGCAGTAATTTTAAATTTGTAGAAATTTTAGCTGTACTTACAAGTTTAAAATGCATTTAATAAGATACTTACGTGAAACAAAATATCATAGAAAGCAGACGTAGACGTAGACGTAGTAAGTTAAGAAGTTAGACCGGCAGAACTTCATGTCGTATAAAATTGTGCAGAATAAAGAAGAACCGCATTTCTAGATTCGACTTTGTAAAATAATTTAACGTCTGCCATAACATCTATGAAGTATCACTTTTTCGAACTGAAATATCAAAAACTTATTTTTGCGTCCTTGGTCTTGTGTTTTTGTCTAACACTTTTGGAGAAAAAACCCAAAAGCGGCGTTGACAAGCAGAATCTTCCTGATATTTAACTCCACCTTTACTGAATATCGTTGTGAAACATGATAGTACCAATTTAATTCTTAGCAGAACAGCAAAGTACCACCTCATAGTTGTCAAATAATATCCAAGGTTCCAAAACCCAAAACCACCTACATAACCAATTGGCTTGCGTACCTCGACCAAAGAAAACAACTCGTAAGCAGTAAATAGGTATAATTCGAACGAACCACGGACTGGTGTTAAGGTGCCAGATTAGTAAATGAACAACCTGGATCGGAGTTGAAGCTCGCCGATTTGTGAACATGGCTGCGAAGACTTCAATTCATTGGCGAATATATTAACCATCTTCCTTAAATAGAGTTAGACTAATAAAAGCAATTAATTAATTGAGTTAAATTAAAATTATTTTTTGATTACTTAAACTAAAAATTCGGAAATCTTCACCATTTCACCATTTTTTTCTTTTCCACAATTCACGCGTTCTTTGTGCTTTGTGCACCACCTGTTTATATTATTATGTATACATTTGTGTCTTTGTACCTATCTAAAAAATAGCC